TCTGGGAAGATCTGAGTAAGCTGAATCTTTTTATATTGAACCATAAGAATTCCCCATTTTTTTTTTTAAGGTCAGAAAAGGTCCAGATCAACAATGTCACATGGCTCAATCTAATTGTCAACATTTTTGGAGGGTTACACTCTATGGCCAGTGTTCAGTATGAAAATAACTAAGCTTCACTGGACAGTGTCCAACATCTAGTCATATATACTGAATTCTCAGTAGTGCATAGTGTCATGGTGAGTTACCAGTGAACATACTCAGAAAAATAACAGAGTCAGCAGAAAGAGAAAATTCACCAACTTTTAAGAAAAAGGATGGCAAATATTTGTCATCCTGATGAAACAAGAACAACAGCAACCAAACCTGTACATTTTTATGTCCCTCTCTTTCTTACATTATTGAACTTGTATGCCAAACTCGTGGGAAAATGAGTTCACTAACATCAAACCTAAATCTTTGCACCAGAAAACTTATTAAGAATCCCACACTGAGTAGAGAAATACCAAGGCCTGCTTATTTCTAAAGAGGCAAGTGGAAGAAGAATCTGGCAAAGCAAGAGCGAAGAGTGAATGCCCACCAGCTGTACCAGAGCAGCTCCTGGGGCCTGCAGCGGGTCAGTCCTCCGGTTAAAGACGCGAATGCTTTCTGAGTTCTGTTTCTCTATAAGGACAATGGCCTTCCTGCCTCTCCTTAAATGCTTCCCAGTATTCAACCAAATGCAGCTCATGTGGGCTCACATTCCCCTTGTGTTTGAACGGAATCTGTCCTTCATCAGCACCCTTTTTATTTTTCATTTTCAAATGCAAACAAAATTTTAGGTGAAAGATAAATTCTGAGTAAGCATAAAATCAGATGGAAACTTCTCCAAATAATGGAAATCTCTCACTAATAAAATATCTTTTCACTCTACAAGCTTGTCAAGTGGAAATTTCAGTTTTTCCATTTATACAGGAAAAAAAAAAAACTAAGAGCCTGGACTAGATGTGTAGACAAGAATCCTCCTCTCTGATGATAGAGATCTTCAAATCAATTTCTATAAGATACACACAGGTGTAAAGGACAGAACACTCCTATGAAGCTTTCTGAGGTACTCACACTTTAAGTGGGAGCCTTAAATGGCTTACTCTTTTGGATGGTAGGTATTCTAAACGTAGCAGGTGAGAACATCTGTGGGCGTGTCAGACGGTGTACTTGACACAGTATGCCTACTCTCAATTAATCATCACAACAAACTTGGGAACTAAGATTATTTTCCCCATTTTCAAGGTAAGAGGATTGGAGCCAGAAGTTTAATTTGCCCAGGGTCACCAGTCAAATGCACTCCTGGTTCCATTACGCTATGCCACCATAAATTAAATGAGTGGTGATCAAGATTAGGGGTGGAGAATATTAAATTGGGGCAGAAGATGGGCAGGCAGAAGAACTAAATTACAGTTTTAGATTTTTCTCTCTAGAAGATTTAAGTTCTCTGAGCTCCATTTCCTCCAAGGATGGACACGGTAGATATTGGTTGTGCATTTTTTCATCCAAAGATGCCTTCATCGTGGCAATCTTCATGATGACCCTCCTACCACAGTAGGTGGATGGCCAAAGATGGAGCCACCTTATTTCTAACAAATGTAAGACTCAGCATAAGATCTGAGGCTGAGGGACTGATGTCATTGAGCTGCTATTGCTACCAAGTGAAAGAGAAAAACGGAAGCTAGTGTTTGCAGAGTCAAGCTTTGGTCTAGCCCTAGGCTTTCCACTTGCCCTCCTCCTCCTCCTCTGTGCTAGCTCTTAAAAATAAAAATTGTTTCCAATTTGTAAGGTGAAATTTCTGCATTAATACCTAGCCCCAGGATCTGTAAAATTCTCTAGTCTTAATGGAGAGCTGCCATAATTGGCTACTATTTATGGGCAAAAGATTTCTGTAATCATTGCTGTCTGGAGAGAGGCTGAGTCCCCAGAAAACGAGATTTGCAGTTTTGAAATAGCAAGGGAATAACAAGGCAAGCTGTGGTCCTTGGGATCTAAAATTCATTGTACACACAATTAAAAATCTGCCATTCTTATGGAGAATTTTTCTTGCTATAAAGACAGAAGGAAAAAAGAAGCAGAAAAAAAAATAACCTAACAGTTAGTTGTATTGTTAACTAGAAGCATTTCCCTAATCAAATCTATGTAATTCTTAATTTAGTCCATACTATTGATCTGGTCTCTAGAACTGAAAACCTAACAGTGGCACTGTTTCTGTTCTCAAGACACTTATAGTCTGGAGGAGGGGCTAATCTGCTAAGAGCAATTGTCTCTATAAGCACATGAGCAAAGGCAAGGTGTTCCGTGTTCACAGCAGGTCCAACTAGCTCAAACTTGGCTGGTGGCAGTAAGGTGATCTAGAAAATTAAGTAATGGTGAGGGTGCATCCCAAGGGCAATGGAGGGACCAGAAACAGAAGGGAGCACTAAGCACCCAGTAACCACAAACATTAACTGGGGCTAGAGAAGATGGATGGAGGGAGGGAAGGAGGTGCTCATGAAACTGCAATACTTGCAGGTCATGGTAGAGAACTCAGACTATATCCAGAGAGCTACGAGGAAACTTGGAATGGGTTATCAAGCAGACCAGCATGTCAAATTGCAGGAGGTCAGATTTAGCTCAGAGAAGGGGTTGGAGAGGGTAAAACTGGAGGCAGCAAGACTAGATAGAAAACTGTCATTGGAGGTAGCCATGGTGACTGAAGGAATACACTTCAGATACTAGTATAGTGGAAACACCAGAAATTTATAATAAGACAGAGGAGGAAGGAATAGAAGTCCCAGGTGGCATCTAGAATGATTTTTTCAAGTGTTCAGAGATTTTATGAAACATTGACCAGCTTGTCATGTATGGGCAATTTGAAATGAGAGGTCCTCCGTGTATCATGCCTACTCCCAAAGGCCGCAGAAGACAAACTCCAGTCCCTACTGTCTATGCTTATCTTGCTCTCTCACTCTCCTTGCCCCTAATTCTCAAACTCTTCTTTTCTTCTGTACCTTTCAGATCAGGCCCAGAACTCAATAGCCCTCTTCTTCTACTCCTTTGTTCAAACATATCTAACACTGTTAACTCTCAAGATCAATGATATCTTTAGACAGATTGAAAAAAAAGAAAAAGACTATTCTTTGAAGAAACATAATAGAGACTTGGGATAGTAAATGAAGCACCAATTTTTATTGTTTTTTAAAATACAGAAGATAAAGTTGATGCCAAGAATTCATGGTAACATTCATTAGCTGCAGAGCAGATGGAGAAGCCACTGAACATGTGGCTCCACAGTGTCCACAGCTGCTGTCTCAATCTCATGTGCACATCATCGCCTTCGATGACAACATTGAGGCTGGGCTGGCGGAGACCACGGCTGGCTTGGTAAACTAACCGAGGAGAAAATAAAAATAGCTAGTCAGGCCACACATGGGCCTGACCACTATCCCGCAAGGCACCTCTCTTTCAGGCTTCTTAAAGGATGGTTTCCTTTTCATTTAAAAAATTAATAGCAAAATCATTTATCTAGCAATTTTTTTTTATCCTAGAGATAGAATCCAAAGCCGTGTGCATGCTAAGTTCTACCACATATTAAGCACAATCCAATAAACAGCACAGGGTGCCTCTGACTTCATCCACAGCATCCTGACAGAGGCAAACTTCTTACTGGCTGCTTCCATCAGAAATGCGGACTTTCTTTGCCTTGTATATTCACTCCTAATTCTCACTGAGCCTATGCTGTGGATGATTTTATTAGTTAAAACAAGAAGTTCCCTGAAATTTCTTAGGAAAGGAATTGATTTGGTCCAGACTAGTTTACTGATTTCCATTTGAGGAAAACCAATCAGCATTATCAAAAGAAATATAAAAAATGAGTAAATGAGTTTTCAAAACAAGAGTCTAAAAATCTTCAAGGTTTGAACAAAGGCAGTCCCAATGGTGTCCACGCTTTCAAAAGCGTACATTTTAGTAATGGTTTGGGTAGAAACAAGACATTTACAAAGGTCAAGAACACGACACAGCTGGGAAGAAAGCTGAATAGATGTATCTCAGTGACACACAACCTGTACTAAAGAAAGATCTCAACAGGACCTTGGCCTTGAGTCGAGTTCTGGCGTGTGATGACCCGTCATTGATTTACACATCAGTACCTTCAAATGTGTAGTAAAATCAGCCTAAAGTAGTTTTTAAAGTGATGACTTATTTGGGGAATAACACTTTAAAAACGTGGCCATTCAGTTCTGACAGTAAATAAATCACACAGCAGCCTCTGCAATCTACCAACACTGAGTAATAAATCTTTGAATTCAGCTTCACGCTAGACATAATGCTGTAAAATAAAAGGCTAGTTTTAACTCAGTGACCTCGGTTTTGCCTCTGCTGGACAGTAAATCTGATGCAAAATGAGCAAATATGGGTGGCTGCGTTTCAACCTGGCATAACAGTGAGGCTTTGTCAAGGATCCCAGAATTTAGAGTTTTTAGTAACCAAAAAAAAAAAAAAAAAAAACTAAAAAACAAAAACATATGCTAAACAGCTGGGGCTGGGAAAATTAAAGGATGGTTAGGAAGAGCTTTCACCTTAGCTAGGAAAATATTCTACACTTAGTGACTTTTTCTTTTATTTGTTCTACTCAAAGAATTCTTCCTAATCTCTAAATTAATATCTCTAAAGGCATGTGCCAGGTAAATAAGGATATATTCACTCATTCTTTCATTCAATTAATGTTAAAAAAAAAGTGCTTTTATCCCTTACTAGTTCTGGAACCTGAGAAAGTTATGCAACTTCATTGGACCTCAGTTTCTTCATCCTTAAAACAGGGACAACGTAGCTGAGAGGATGCTTGAGCCCTGACCAAGCATACCCTGCACCAGACACTGTGTTAAAAAAGAGGATGCACAAGAGTGAACAAACTGAGCCAGACCCCAGCCTCGGAGCAAGCAGAACACACAGTAACAAAACAAAATAAATAAATGCAGAATTTAAAAACCTACCAAGTGCCCAGAGGAAATGCATGGGGTACTTCTGAATAAAAGGGAGGCTTCTTCAGATGGAAAGCTCATGGAAGGCTTTGCTGAATGAGCTGGGAACCTCTGGGTTGCAATCTGGGGGATGGAAGTAGTCAGCCATGTACAGAGAAGAGGCAACGAGCTCATTCCAGGCCAAAGATTTGGAATACGTGACCTTGAAATTAGCCTGGTGTGTTCCAGGAATGCAGAGATGTAGAGATGGGGCAAATCACACAGGACCGAAAAGAATAATAAAGAGTTTGGCATTAGTCCATATGGATTAGGAAGTCACTGGATGGCTTTCCAGCAGAATGACAGATTTTTGTTCTGAAGATGATGTTGGCTGCTGGGTGCTGGATGGTCCAGTGAGATTCAGAATGAAAACACCAGAGAGACCTCTGAAGCCCTTCTCCCGGTGGTGATGAGCACTTGGCAGAGGCAGTGATAGTGGAGAGAAGCAGATAGAATGTGAGATGGCTCCCAAGGGCCCATGACACATCGGTCTTGGCAGTCAGTCTCTTCTCAGGTACAAATATTAACAAGATTAATGACTAAAAACAATTTTTTTTTAAAAAAGTCCCATTTTATTGAAGTTCTTCAGACATCTCTCTTCATAAAAGCCAGTGGCCAGTGAATTTTTTGAAGTGTGTTTAACCAAGAAGGCTTGCAGCCATGAGTTGATTTAACAGTACATGAAACTTCTATGTGTGAGTTTAAATGGGGAGCTGTGAGAACCAGTTACTGTGCCCAGTAAAGTCAAGACACCCAATGGTACTTGATAGGTAGGCTGCAGACCATTCTTCATTGTTCTCACTCTGGGTCAAATTCTAAATAGGTTTTTGGAACGTAGGCTGGAGATGGGGTGTTGAGCAGGACTAGTCAGGGATGCTTCTCCACCAGAGCCACCTGGTCAACTGCCACAGGGAACAGCCTTGTTTTTCACCTTCTACCAAGTGGTCACCATGGGGAATACTTCATGTGCTTCCCTTTGAACCCATGGCTTCATTCTTTGGAAAAGAAAGGGAAGGAGGAGAGTAGCGGGAGGGGGAGAGAAAGAAAAAGAGAAGGGAGAAGAGGGAGGGAGGTAAGGCATGATTTGTCATCACCCAGAAGTGCTAATGCTGGCTCCCAAACCTCAAGCTCTGATTCCCTCATCAATCTTAATACCCCCCAGATTCTGTGTAGAACAAACATGGAAAGAAAAGAAAGTTCTTAGCCAAATATTGGAGTCCAGCTTGGAAAAATGAGCTTTGCAATGACAGCACATATTTTTAAGAGCTTATTGGGATCTGACTAAGGAGACTGGCTCCAGGCCTTGCAGTTTCACATATTTTCTTGATTCCTAAATTAATCATTTTTAGATCATCCACCTTAAAATAAGCCAAAGGGAAGCTTCCTCCAGGAATAGCCACTCATTGGCACTTCACAATTAAAAGCAAGATCACATATGTGCAACTAACCTTGAATAAGAATTTGATTTAGATTTAATAGAATGTGTGCTCATGTATAACGCCTACCAATGGGTCTGAAAAGAAATATTTAATACGATACAATTCCGGCATAAAACTTAATCAGTTTTAACACCTCTGCAGGATTTGTTAGGCCTGGCTTAGCAAATTGATGCAGTTAGTTAGTGGTATCTGAGCCTTTTTGATAGATGAAAAGTGAGCCAAAATTTTCCTCTTCCTATCAGCATATCTTTGGCATACAATCATGTTCTCCTCCATTAGTAACACCCTGAAGAAAAATGAGACTGAAAATTGAGCTCATGCTATCACAGTTATAGTATGGTGAGTTGGCTAACAATGACAATTGGTATTTTTGAAGATTCATTTTTCATTTTAACCATTTTATTCTCTTTGCTTTACAAAATATCGTGCAGGTGTCTGAAGAGGACAAATCTGTGTGAGCAGGTGGCTCCTCTTATCTCTGTAAAAAAAAAAAAATGCTATCCTTCTGTTTCATTATTTCTGCACCTTGTTTTTCTTATGTCTCACCTACTTGGTCTCATCTCTCCCTAAAGGCATGGGCAATGAGTAGGTGTGTTACATGCAGCCTCATGGCCTGATCCCAGCACAACTTTCTGAGTGTATATTTCCTTTTATTCAATGCACATTATAAGTGTCTCTTTCCAAACAGGATGTGTTGGAGGTGGTCAGGCACATAGCAGCCCTTCATCTCAAATGCACCGTTGACCCAGGCATACTTTAAACTCAGGAGAATAGGGGGCAGTAATTATAAATTTAACCAGCCTGCTGGCCATCCTTAGCAAGAAGAGTGAAGCAGGGAGCATCATAGTACCAGACCTTAAACTATACTATAGAGCAATAATAACAAAAATGGCATGGTATTGGCACCAAAATAGAAACATAGACCAATGGTATAAAACGGAAGACATAGAGACAAACCCACATAAATAGTCAAACCACCAAAAGCATTTACTGGAGAAAAGACAGCCTATTCAACAATTAGTGCTGGGAAAACTTGAAATCTATATGTAACTAAATGAAATTAAATCTCTCTCTCTCTCTCTCTCTCTCTCTCTCTCTCTCTC